GACGTATGCGGTTCTTGCTTCTAGACGGACAACTTTTTGGTGCTCGAAACGAACCGGATTCCGGAGCTTAGAGGCGGCTCCGCTGCGGTGTGAACAGGGAAACCCGGTGCTTTTCAAGCACCAGCACCGAACCGGCCCCGAAACACCGTTGGTGTGAATGGGGTATAAGAGGAGAGTCTTCAGTCTATAGCAGCAGAACTAGGAGCTGGTCCCAGATCAGTCTGAACCCTCACTATAAGAGGAGAGTCTTCAGTCTATAGCAGCAGAACTAGGAGCTGGTCCCAGGTCAGTCTGAACCCTCACTATAAGAGGAGAGTCTTCAGTCTATAGCAGCAGAACTAGGAGCTGGTCCCAGATCAGTCTGAACCCTCACTATAAGAGGAGAGTCTTCAGTCTATAGCAGCAGAACTAGGAGCTGGTCCCAGGTCAGTCTGAACCCTCACTATAAGAGGAGAGTCTTCAGTCTATAGCAGCAGAACTAGGAGCTGGTCCCAGATCAGTCTGAACCCTCACTATAAGAGGAGAGTCTTCAGTCTATAGCAGCAGAACTAGGAGCTGGTCCCAGATCAGTCTGAACCCTCACTATAAGAGGAGAGTCTTCAGTCTATAGCAGCAGAACTAGGAGCTGGTCCCAGATCAGTCTGAACCCTCACTATAAGAGGAGAGTCTTCAGTCTATAGCAGCAGAACTAGGAGCTGGTCCCAGATCAGTCTGAACCCTCACTATAAGAGGAGAGTCTTCAGTCTATAGCAGCAGAACTAGGAGCTGGTCCCAGGTCAGTCTGAACCCTCACTATAAGAGGAGAGTCTTCAGTCTATAGCAGCAGAACTAGGAGCTGGTCCCAGATCAGTCTGAACCCTCACTATAAGAGGAGAGTCTTCAGTCTATAGCAGCAGAACTAGGAGCTGGTCCCAGATCAGTCTGAACCCTCACTATAAGAGGAGAGTCTTCAGTCTATAGCAGCAGAACTAGGAGCTGGTCCCAGATCAGTCTGAACCCTCACTATAAGAGGAGAGTCTTCAGTCTATAGCAGCAGAACTAGGAGCTGGTCCCAGATCAGTCTGAACCCTCACTATAAGAGGAGAGTCTTCAGTCTATAGCAGCAGAACTAGGAGCTGGTCCCAGGTCAGTCTGAACCCTCACTATAAGAGGAGAGTCTTCAGTCTATAGCAGCAGAACTAGGAGCTGGTCCCAGATCAGTCTGAACCCTCACTATAAGAGGAGAGTCTTCAGTCTATAGCAGCAGAACTAGGAGCTGGTCCCAGATCAGTCTGAACCCTCACTATAAGAGGAGAGTCTTCAGTCTATAGCAGCAGAACTAGGAGCTGGTCCCAGATCAGTCTGAACCCTCACTATAAGAGGAGAGTCTTCAGTCTATAGCAGCAGAACTAGGAGCTGGTCCCAGATCAGTCTGAACCCTCACTATAAGAGGAGAGTCTTCAGTCTATAGCAGCAGAACTAGGAGCTGGTCCCAGGTCAGTCTGAACCCTCACTATAAGAGGAGAGTCTTCAGTCTATAGCAGCAGAACTAGGAGCTGGTCCCAGATCAGTCTGAACCCTCACTATAAGAGGAGAGTCTTCAGTCTATAGCAGCAGAACTAGGAGCTGGTCCCAGATCAGTCTGAACCCTCACTATAAGAGGAGAGTCTTCAGTCTATAGCAGCAGAACTAGGAGCTGGTCCCAGATCAGTCTGAACCCTCACTATAAGAGGAGAGTCTTCAGTCTATAGCAGCAGAACTAGGAGCTGGTCCCAGATCAGTCTGAACCCTCACTATAAGAGGAGAGTCTTCAGTCTATAGCAGCAGAACTAGGAGCTGGTCCCAGGTCAGTCTGAACCCTCACTATAAGAGGAGAGTCTTCAGTCTATAGCAGCAGAACTAGGAGCTGGTCCCAGATCAGTCTGAACCCTCACTATAAGAGGAGAGTCTTCAGTCTATAGCAGCAGAACTAGGAGCTGGTCCCAGATCAGTCTGAACCCTCACTATAAGAGGAGAGTCTTCAGTCTATAGCAGCAGAACTAGGAGCTGGTCCCAGATCAGTCTGAACCCTCACTATAAGAGGAGAGTCGTCAGTCTATAGCAGCAGAACTAGGAGCTGGTCCCAGGTCAGTCTGAACCCTCACTATAAGAGGAGAGTCTTCAGTCTATAGCAGCAGAACTAGGAGCTGGTCCCAGATCAGTCTGAACCCTCACTATAAGAGGAGAGTCTTCAGTCTATAGCAGCAGAACTAGGAGCTGGTCCCAGATCAGTCTGAACCCTCACTATAAGAGGAGAGTCTTCAGTCTATAGCAGCAGAACTAGGAGCTGGTCCCAGATCAGTCTGAACCCTCACTATAAGAGGAGAGTCTTCAGTCTATAGCAGCAGAACTAGGAGCTGGTCCCAGATCAGTCTGAACCCTCACTATAAGAGGAGAGTCTTCAGTCTATAGCAGCAGAACTAGGAGCTGGTCCCAGATCAGTCTGAACCCTCACTATAAGAGGAGAGTCTTCAGTCTATAGCAGCAGAACTAGGAGCTGGTCCCAGATCAGTCTGAACCCTCACTATAAGAGGAGAGTCTTCAGTCTATAGCAGCAGAACTAGGAGCTGGTCCCAGATCAGTCTGAAAGGAGGTGAGGATGGAGTGGTTAATGGTGTTAAGGACTCAAGGAGGTGAGGATGGAGTGGTTAATGGTGTTAAGGACTCAAGGAGGTGAGGATGGAGTGGTGAATGGTGTTAAGGACTCAAGGAGGTGAGGATGGAGTGGTTAATGGTGTTAAGGACTCAATGAGGTGAGGATGGAGTGGTTAATGGTGTTAAGGACTCAAGGAGGTGAGGATGGAGTGGTGAATGGTGTTAAGGACTGAAGGAGGTGAGGATGGAGTGGTTAATGGTGTTAAGGACTCAAGGAGGTGAGGATGGAGTGGTGAATGGTGTTAAGGACTCAAGGAGGTGAGGATGGAGTGGTTAATGGTGTTAAGGACTCAAGGAGGTGAGGATGGAGTGGTGAATGGTGTTAAGGACTCAAGGAGGTGAGGATGGAGTGGTGAATGGTGTTAAGGACTCAAGGAGGTGAGGATGGAGTGGTTAATGGTGTTAAGGACTCAAGGAGGTGAGGATGGAGTGGTTAATGGTGTTAAGGACTGAAGGAGGTGAGGATGGAGTGGTTAATGGTGTTAAGGACTCAAGGAGGTGAGGATGGAGTGGTTAATGGTGTTAAGGACTGAAGGAGGTGAGGATGGAGTGGTTAATCGTGTTAAGGACTGAAGGAGGTGAGGATGGAGTGGTTAATGGTGTTAAGGACTGAAGGAGGTGAGGATGGAGTGGTGAATGGTGTTAAGGACTCAAGGAGGTGAGGATGGAGTGGTGAATGGTGTTAAGGACTCAAGGAGGTGAGGATGGAGTGGTGAATGGTGTTAAGGACTCAAGGAGGTGAGGATGGAGTGGTGAATGGTGTTAAGGACTCAAGGAGGTGAGGATGGAGTGGTTAATGGTGTTAAGGACTCAAGGAGGTGAGGATGGAGTGGTTAATGGTGTTAAGGACTCAAGGAGGTGAGGATGGAGTGGTGAATGGTGTTAAGGACTCAAGGAGGTGAGGATGGAGTGGTGAATGGTGTTAAGGACTCAAGGAGGTGAGGATGGAGTGGTTAATGGTGTTAAGGACTCAAGGAGGTGGGGATGGAGTGGTTAATGGTGTTAAGGACTCAAGGAGGTGAGGATGGAGTGGTTAATGGTGTTAAGGACTGAAGGAGGTGAGGATGGAGTGGTTAATGGTGTTAAGGACTCAAGGAGGTGAGGATGGAGTGGTTAATGGTGTTAAGGACTCAAGGAGGTGAGGATGGAGTGGTTAATGGTGTTAAGGACTCAAGGAGGTGAGGATGGAGTGGTTAATGGTGTTAAGGACTGAAGGAGGTGAGGATGGAGTGGTTAATGGTGTTAAGGACTCAAGGAGGTGAGGATGGAGTGGTTAATGGTGTTAAGGACTCAAGGAGGTGAGGATGGAGTGGTGAATGGTGTTAAGGACTCAAGGAGGTGAGGATGGAGTGGTTAATGGTGTTAAGGACTCAAGGAGGTGAGGATGGAGTGGTTAATGGTGTTAAGGACTGAAGGAGGTGAGGATGGAGTGGTGAATGGTGTTAAGGACTCAAGGAGGTGAGGATGGAGTGGTGAATGGTGTTAAGGACTCAAGGAGGTGAGGATGGAGTGGTGAATGGTGTTAAGGACTCAAGGAGGTGAGGATGGAGTGGTGAATGGTGTTAAGGACTCAAGGAGGTGAGGATGGAGTGGTTAATGGTGTTAAGGACTCAAGGAGGTGAGGATGGAGTGGTTAATGGTGTTAAGGACTCAAGGAGGTGAGGATGGAGTGGTGAATGGTGTTAAGGACTCAAGGAGGTGAGGATGGAGTGGTGAATGGTGTTAAGGACTCAAGGAGGTGAGGATGGAGTGGTGAATGGTGTTAAGGACTCAAGGAGGTGAGGATGGAGTGGTGAATGGTGTTAAGGACTCAAGGAGGTGAGGATGGAGTGGTGAATGGTGTTAAGGACTCAAGGAGGTGAGGATGGAGTGGTGAATGGTGTTAAGGACTCAAGGAGGTGAGGATGGAGTGGTTAATGGTGTTAAGGACTCAAGGAGGTGAGGATGGAGTGGTGAATGGTGTTAAGGACTCAAGGAGGTGAGGATGGAGTGGTGAATGGTGTTAAGGACTCAAGGAGGTGAGGATGGAGTGGTGAATGGTGTTAAGGACTCAAGGAGGTGAGGATGGAGTGGTTAATGGTGTTAAGGACTCAAGGAGGTGAGGATGGAGTGGTTAATGGTGTTAAGGACTCAAGGAGGTGAGGATGGAGTGGTTAATGGTGTCAAAGGCAGTGGTTGGTCAAGAAGGATGAAGATGATGAAGATGATGAAGATGGTGAAGATGGAGAGGGAACCAGAGTCAGCAGAGAGGAGAATGTCATGTGACCTTGAGTCGAGTGCTGAAACGTTATAAGATGAAGTTGAACTAACAGCTGTTCTCTCCACAGGAAGTCCGTCAGCGCCTGGTCAGCCTGAGCACGCAACTCCACGCACTGCAGGTGAGAAACTACAATATCATATAGTGGGAATGCTGATACAGCATTCCCACTATATGATATGCTACGGACAAAACGTTTATTATTCCGCCGACTTATTTTGTCCGTCTTCTCCCACATTCAACATCGCAGAAACTCCGTTCAAACATCAAAACGTTCAGCTCGGTCGGGAATCGCAGGCTATTACTTTTATCATTCATAACTTCCATAATTCCAGAGATACATCCCATAATACATCACATTTTTAACATTTTAACTTTAACATTGCGCAGCTCGTTAAGGCAGAGTGCGTGATGTCACAGCTAGAGGGTAAGAAATCTTGAAATTTGCCTTCATATTTTTTTTTAAAACTGCCATAATTCCCAAACCCTACATTCCTGAGACATCATTTTTCATGACAAACGTAGGAAAACATCTCGTAGCTTGAAAAATGACAAATAATTAAGCAAAATAATTAAACAAAATGCCTCTTGAGGGCATGAAGTGACAAAAACGTTCAACATCTCCATTAAAACCCATTGTAATTTCAGGCTGATATTTCCTCACAGCAGCAGACGCATACCTTTAGTTAAACTGCCAAAAAGGCCACATTATTAATATTATTATTATTATTATACACAAAAATTACACTTCAGATACTCAACTTACTTGACATGCTTCACGTTTTGAAATTTCACAGATATCTGTTATCGTTCTTCCACAAAACGTTCACATGTAAGAGGTTTATCTCTCATTCAGAACAATGCAAACATTTGATCTCTACACACCTCGTTAGCTCAACTATAAACACCTGTGTAATGGAACACGATGATGTCATCACTCCAACTGACAGCAGTCAGTTCTAACTGTTCATTTCATCCTCTCTCCCTCTCTCTCTCTCTCTCTCTCTCTCTCTCTCTCTCTCTCTCTCACAAACACACACTCTCTCTCTCTCTCTCACACACACACTCTCTCTCTCTCTCTCTCTCTCTCTCTCTCTCTCTCTCTCACAAACACACACACTCTCTCTCTCTCTCTCTCTCTCTCTCTCTCTCTCTGCCACACACAGACACACACACTCTCTCTCTCTCACACACAATGTTCCAAACGGCCCAAAACTTCACAGGTTTGGTAACGATGCAGCCATCAACGCATCTAAGCGTAGTATGGGGTGTCATCAAATCCCGTTGTCATGGCGACAGACCACTCGCCATGAAACACGATGTCGCTGTAAGTCCAATGGACACGGTCCAATCGTCCCCCAATCTTCACTTGTATATCACCGGTCCATGCCTCAACAGCTCTACGCCAAATCTGAAATCTCACCATATGCCGTTTCCATGGAAACGCATCCCTCGCCATAAAACACGATGTCCCTTTAACTCCTATGAAAATGTTCAAAAAGTGCTCAAAATTCACATGTGTGCTAACAGTCCAGCCGTGAAGACATCTACGAGACAGTTTTGAGATTTCTTCAAATGCCGTTGCCATGGCAACACAATGCTCGCCATGAAACACGGTTTTCTCATAACTTCAGTGAAAATGCTCCAAACAGCCCAAAATGTCACAGGTTTGGTAACGATGCAGCCATCAACGCATCTAACCGTATTATGGGGTGTCATCAAATGCCGTTGCCATGGCGACAGACCACTCGCCATGAAGCATGATGTCGCTGTAAGTCCAATGGACACGGTCCGATCGTCCTCCAAACTTCGCTTGTATATCACCGGTCCAGCCCTCAACAGCTCTACGTCAATTATGGGGTTTCTTCAAATGCCGTTGCCATGGTAACACAAGGCTCGCCATGAAACACGGTTTTCTCATAACTTCAGTGAAAATGCTCCAAACAGCCCAAAACTTCACAGGTTTGGTAACGATGCAGCCATCCACACATCTAAACGTATTATGGGATGTCATCAAATGCCGTTGGCACGGCGACAGATCATTCACCATCAAGTTAGTTCAAAAGTTTGCAGTTCAAATATTCTGCTGCTTTTCCAAGCTTTTTTACTTTCTTTTCTTCACTCATCACACATTCAAGCCCCCAGTGTTCATGTATCATTTCAATCTAAATTCTTCACTTTCTTCTTACACATTACTTTTCAGCATAGCAGTTTAGCGTCAGATTTTCAGCATAAAGCATTCCCACTAGCAATTTCTTCAGGAATTGCATTCTCTAGTTATTATTATAAATATTGTTGTTAAGTGACCGCTCCTCCCCTCAGGCTGCTGTGATTCGTCAAGACTCGATCCTGGAGCTGTCACTCACCACAGGCCTTGCCCCCTCCCTGCCCACAGGCCCCGCCCTCACCCGCTCTCTCTCAGGGGAGGGGGGGGAGGCGGGACTTCTGCGGCGACAGGTGGAGCTGCTGCAGGAGGAAGTGACACGTCTGCGCCTGAAGGGGGAGGAGCCAATCAGGGATGGGGCAGGCTCTAGGAGACGGAGCAACGGAGACATCAGTGATGTCATGAAGGGGGAACAGGTGAGTCCACAAAGTATTCAAATGTGAAAACCAGTAGGCTTGTTTGAGATGAGCTGCGGCTCGCCTCGAAAGTAGACGAGAATAGCCGATTGCAGCCGGGGGCGGTCTCAAAAAGCTCGTCTGAAGTCGGACAGCTAGTAGTCGGCTTGACTCGGTTTGCGCTGGCGGAAATTGCGCTGGCGTTCTTCGTTGCAGATTAAGTGGATGCAATAGAAATCCCACAATTATTATATCACTACAAAATTAAGTGTCTGTTCATTTTAAAACAAATCAATACAAGGGGGGTTGAATCCTACAGAACCACTTGTTACTTTTCAAAACTACTTCCGTCAGTGGTCTTGACCAGTTTGCATTTATAAAGAATGCACAAATGTGTTTAATCGTTAATGTCAGATATGTACTAAGTGAATACATTTGTTCCTGCTCAAGATTAGATTCAACTTTATTGATATTGCACAGATTACAGGTACTGAGACAACGAAATGCAGTTTAGCTTCTAACCAGGAGTGCAGTAAAGAGAAAAGTAATGTACACAATCTACAGAATAAAATATAGAATGAATTGAATGATGAATAAACAGTGAGGGGTATGAATACACTATATACACAGTAGCCTAGCCTAGTATGAACAGTGTGTTGTATGAATATGCTAAGATATATAAAGTCTGACAACGGTAAGCAGTGCAAGTATAGTATACAAATATATAGATATTAATGTCATGATGATAAACATTGTGGAACAATGATGAAAAATGTGAATGGAAGTGGCGACGTAAAACTGACACAAAACAACACACTTTAGCCGAGCCAATAGAGAGCTTCATCTCCAGCACGGGGTAAAACCCACCAATGAGCGCTCAACTCCAGATACCAGCGAGCCAATGGAGAGCTTCATCTCCAGCACGGGGTAAAACCCACCAATGAGCGCTCAGCTCCAGATACCAGCGAGCCAATGGAGAGCTTCATCTCCAGCACGGGGTAAAACCCACCAATGAGCGCTCAGCTCCAGATACCAGCGAGCCAATGGAGAGCTTCATCTCCAGCACGGGGTAAAACCCACCAATGAGCGCTCAGCTCCAGATACCAGCGAGCCAATGGAGAGCTTCATCTCCAGCACGGGGTAAAACCCACCAATGAGCGCTCAGCTCCAGATACCAGCGAGCCAATGGAGAGCTTCATCTCCAGCACGGGGTGAAACCCACCAATGAGCGCTCAGCTCCAGATACCAGCGAGCCAATGGAGAGCTTCATCTCCAGCACGGGGTAAAACCCACCAATGAGCGCTCAGCTCCAGATACCAGCGAGCCAATGGAGAGCTTCATCTCCAGCACGGGGTAAAACCCACCAATGAGCACTCAGCTCCAGATACCAGCGAGCCAATGGAGAGCTTCATCTCCAGCACGGGGTAAAACCCACCAATGAGCGCTCAGCTCCAGATACCAGCGAGCCAATGGAGAGCTTCATCTCCAGCACGGGGTAAAACCCACCAATGAGCACTCAGCTCCAGATACCAGCGAGCCAATGGAGAGCTTCATCTCCAGCACGGGGTAAAACCCACCAATGAGCGCTCAGCTCCAGATACCAGCGAGTCGTTTCCCATCAAGCATTTCTCTTCCGCAGCCCGGGGAGAGAAACTGCGCCGCCTCGCCTCGCCTCGCTCTCAAGTCTGCGGGCGTCTTTGTCCCGCGAGATTTCAACGTCTCATGTAGGCGAGCCTCCAGAGCAAGTCGGACAAAATGACCATCATGCAACGCACGAGCAAGACGTTGATCGCAATTGCGCAGGTCTGCGTCGGTCTCGCTCATCTCAAACAAGCCTAATATCATGACGAGGGGGGGTGGGTCAACAATGAATATCTGTGGGGGGGTCTGACTGAAGTCAATAACATAAGATGTAAAATATGCTAAGCTCGTGTGTGTGTGTGTGTGTGTGGCAGCAGGTGAGCAGGAGGCGTGGAAGCAGGGAGTTGGAGCCCCGCCCCCTCGCACCATTGGCCACCCAGGAGCCCGTCGACCAATTAGACGGCGTCCAGGAAACAAACGGGGAGAAAATCTCTCCTCGCTCCGACAGCCCGAGAGGTCAGCTCCCCACCAACATGTTATCCATATATATATATTATTATAAATATATATATCATAAGTATTAATATATATATATAAATATATATATCATAAGTATTAATATGGTGGTCTTTTGTTTTGTTCCAGACCTGCAGGATATCCCGGAGGAGAGCGAGTGCGGGGCGGAGCCCAGTTAACATCCAGAGACTTTCATTGGTTCCTGCTGTCAGAAACAGGAAGTATCACAGCTGGAGCCCCGCCCACATGTGCTGGAGGGGGCGGGGTTTACATTGTGAGACACCACACTACATTACCCAAAATGCCTTTGGATGTCAGCATCTCCAGTGTTGACGTTATAAAGTGCTGTAAACAAAGCGTGTAAATGTATTTATATTAAAGTAGTTTAACGTCATTCTGGGACCAAAAACATTTTTTACCTGTAGAAATGTTTACAACGGTTTACAGAAATAAACTGAGGGCTAGCGGCTAATGCTAACCTGCAGAGCTAACAGGAAGAAGTGTTAGCAGCTAATGCTAACCTGCAGAGCTAACAGGAAGAAGTGTTAGCAGCTAATGCTAACCTGCAGAGCTAACAGGAAGAAGTGTTAGCAGCTAATGCTAACCTGCAGAGCTAACAGGAAGAAGTGCTAGCAGCTAATGCTAACCTGCAGAGCTAACAGGAAGAAGTGTTAGCAGCTAATGCTAACCTGCAGAGCTAACAGGAAGAAGTGTTAGCAGCTAATGCTAACCTGCAGAGCTAACAGGAGCTGGATCCAGCACCATCCGTCCCCCATGCTCCGTGGAGAACGGCTCCACTCTCAACCAAGATCACGTGATCATCCAGGACCATAAGCCCGCTTACCGCCATAAGCCCCGCCTCCCACCATGAGCCCCGCCTCTCCTTGGAGTATATACTCAATGACTGAGTAACTCAATGAATGAATGACTCAATGACTGAATGACTCAATGACTCAATGACTCAATGACTGAATGACTGAATGACTCAATGACTCAATGACTCAATGACTCAATGACTCAATGACTGAATGACTCAATGACTGAGTAACTCAATGACTCAATGACTCAATGACTCAATGACTCAATGACTGAATGACTCAATGACTGAATGACTCAATGACTGAGTAACTCAATGACTCAATGACTCAATGACTCAATGACTGAATGACTCAATGACTCAATGACTGAATGACTCAATGACTGAGTAACTCAATGACTCAATGACTCAATGACTGAATGACTCAATGACTCAATGACTCAATGACTGAATGACTCAATGACTGAGTAACTCAATGACTCAATGACTCAATGACTGAATGACTCAATGACTGAGTAACTCAATGACTCAATGACTCAATGACTCAATGACTGAATGACTCAATGACTGAGTAACTCAATGACTCAATGACTCAATGACTCAATGACTGAATGACTCAATGACTGAATGACTCAATGACTGAATGACTCAATGACTCAATGACTCAATGACTCAATGACTGAATAATTGACTGAATGATTGACTGAATTATTGATTGACTGAATGATTGACTGAATGATTGACTGAATTATTGATTGACTGATTGATTGACTGAATTATTGATTGACTGAATGATTGATTGACTGAATGATTGACTGAATGATTGACTAACTGATTGATTGACTGAATGATTGACTGAATTATTGATTGACTGAATGATTGATTGACTGAATGAATGAATCCAACACCAGTCGTCTCAGTTCCTCATCGCCGACATGGATCAGTAATGTAAAACCGTGAAATATTAAAACCTTTAGTGTAAATAAATTATTCTCTGTGGATCCAGCCCTAGTTTAAAAGGGGGGGGGGTTAGCATGTTAGCGTGTTAGCGTGTAAACCTGGTGTTTTTATTGATCAGGTCTGACCAGGTTTCTATTGATCAGGTCTGACCAGGTTTCTATTGATCAGGTCTGACCAGATGAAACATGGAGGCTGTTTATTGTCATGAAGTTATTATGCTGAAATATTTAATGTCCATTAGATCATGGAAATGTACAGAATGAAAAATGAAGGTTAAACCTGAATCCTTGGTTTATATGTTTGTGTCCAAAGTCTTTTTTATTTGAGTGCTTTTTACTCTTTTATAATGCGTTTACAGAGCTGGAGTGTGTACTGTATAAACTGTAAAGTTGTGATTTATTCTCTGTTATAAATCAGCTGGATCAAACCATGATGTCTTTATTTCCCCGTACACTTTCACTAAATAATATATTCTTAAAATTCACATGTTTTTCTTACTTTGGATAATCTATGTATTTTGATTTTATGACATTTTAAAATCTTTACTTGAGTTCAGAAAAAGGATTTAACACTAGTACACAAATAGTCATAATCACATTAAAATAGCCGATGTGTTTTTTATATTTATTGAAGTGTATTTTTAGCAACGTCTGAAAGCTTTATTTATTCCACAGGATGATGAGGGTCATTTTATAGTTTCAGTTCTATATCTCTAAAAGAAACAGTGTGTTATTATTATTCACCCGTTTCCTGACCTCATCACAACGTACAGAGTAACCGGCCAATATCTGCTCTCTACAGCTCTGTGAGGGGTCTAACCCGGGCGTAGTGATACGTGCAACAACCACAATGGGTAGGGTTTATAAGTTACTCAAAAGTCTGTCCGAGTATCAAGTCACATGGAAAAGCTGGACAGAAATCATTACAGAGCAATAGGACCGACTCATTACCGCAGAATCAGGAGAACCAATGAAACGAGGAGAGATTAGTTATCTCTCACCGATTGGATAAGAGTTCAGGGAGAAGATATCAAAGAGTTCAGGGAGAAGGAAATCAAGAGAGAGTTACTTTAGAGAACGGTAATCCCTCACTGTACTGAGTTACTCCTGCTGAAAGTAACTAGTTACACTGCTAGTTACTTTAGAGAAAGGTAATCCCTCACTGTACTACTGAGTTTCTCCTGTTGAAAGTAACTCGTTACACTGCTAGTTACTTTAGAGAAAGGTAATCCCTCACTGTACTACTGAGTTTCTCCTGTTGAAAGTAACTCGTTACACTGCTAGTTACTTTAGAGAAAGGTAATCCCTCACTGTACTACTGAGTTACTCCTGTTGAAAGTAACTAGTTACACTGCTAGTTACTTTAGAGAAAGGTAATCCCTCACTGTACTACTGAGTTACTCCTGTTGAAAGTAACTAGTTACACTGCTAGTTACTTTAGAGAAAGGTAATCCCTCACTGTACTACTGAGTTACTCCTGTTGAAAGTAACTCGTTACACTGCTAGTTACTTTAGAGAAAGGTAATCCCTCACTGTACTGAGTTACTCCTGTTGAAAGTAACTAGTTACACTGCTAGTTACTTTAGAGAAAGGTAATCCCTCACTGTACTGAGTTACTCCTGTTGAAAGTAACTCGTTACACTGCTAGTTACTTTAGAGAAAGGTAATCCCTCACTGTACTACTGAGTTACTACCTGTTGAAAGTAACTAGTTACACTGCTAGTTACTTTAGAGAAAGGTAATCCCTCACTGTACTACTGAGTTACTCTGCTGAAAGTAACTAGTTACACTGCTAGTTACTTTAGAGAAAGGTAATCCCTCACTGTACTGAGTTACTCCTGTTGAAAGTAACTAGTTACACTGCTAGTTACTTTAGAGAAAGGTAATCCCTCACTGTACTACTGAGTTACTCCTGTTGAAAGTAACTAGTTACACTGCTAGTTACTTTAGAGAAAGGTAATCCCTCACTGTACTACTGAGTTACTCCTGCTGAAAAGTAACTAGTTACACTGCTAGTTACTTTAGAGAAAGGTAAATCCCTCACTGTACTGAGTTACTCCTGTTGAAAGTAACTAGTTACACTGCTAGTTACTTTAGAGAAAGGTAATCCCTCACTGTACTACTGAGTTACTCCTGTTGAAAGTAACTCGTTACACTGCTAGTTACTTTAGAGAAAGGTAATCCCTCACTGTACTACTGAGTTACTCCTGCTGAAAGTAACTAGTTACACTGCTAGTTACTTTAGAGAAAGGTAATCCCTCACTGTACTGAGTTACTCCTGTTGAAAGTAACTCGTTACACTGCTAGTTACTTTAGAGAAAGGTAATCCCTCACTGTACTACTGAGTTACTCCTGTTGAAAGTAACTCGTTACACTGCTAGTTACTTTAGAGAAAGGTAATCCCTCACTGTACTACTGAGTTACTCCTGCTGAAAGTAACTAGTTACACTGCTAGTTACTTTAGAGAAAGGTAATCCCTCACTGTACTGAGTTACTCCTGTTGAAAGTAACTCGTTATACTGCTAGTTACTTTAGAGAAAGGTAATCCCTCACTGTACTGAGTTACTCCTGCTGAAAGTAACTCGTTACACTGCTAGTTACTTTAGAGAAAGGTAATCCCTCACTGTACTGAGTTACTCCTGTTGAAAGTAACTAGTTACACTGCTAGTTACTTTAGAGAAAGGTAATCCCTCACTGTACTACTGAGTTTCTCCTGTTGAAAGTAACTCGTTACACTGCTAGTTACTTTAGAGAAAAGTAATCCCTCACTGTACTGAGTTACTCCTGCTGAAAGTAACTAGTTACACTGCTAGTTACTTTAGAGAAAGGTAATCCCTCACTGTACTACTGAGTTACTCCTGTTGAAAGTAACTAGTTACACTGCTACTTACTTTAGAGAAAGGTAATCCCTCACTGTACTACTGAGTTACTCCTGTTGAAAGTAACTCGTTACACTGCTAGTTACTTTAGAGAAAGGTAATCCCTCACTGTACTACTGAGTTACTCCTGTTGAAAGTAACTAGTTACACTGCTAGTTACTTTAGAGAAAGGTAATCCCTCACTGTACTACTGAGTTACTCCTGCTGAAAGTAACTAGTTACACTGCTAGTTACTTTAGAGAAAGGTAATCCCTCACTGTACTGAGTTACTCCTGTTGAAAGTAACTAGTTACACTGCTAGTTACTTTAGAGAAAGGTAATCCCTCACTGTACTACTGAGTTACTCCTGCTGAAAGTAACTCGTTACACTGCTAGTTACTTTAGAGAAAGGTAATCCCTCACTGTACTACTGAGTTACTCCTGCTGAAAGTAACTAGTTACACTGCTAGTTACTTTAGAGAACAGTAAACCCTCACTGTACTGAGTTATTCCTGCTGAAAGTAACTAGTTACACTGCTAGTTACTTTAGAGAAAGGTAATCCCTCACTGTACTACTGAGTTTCTCCTGTTGAAAGTAACTAGTTACACTGCTGATTACTTTAGAGAAAAGTAATCCCTCACTGTACTGAGTTACTCCTGCTGAAAGTAACTAGTTACACTGCTAGTTACTTTAGAGAAAGGTAATCCCTCACTGTACTACTGAGTTACTCCTGCTGAAAGTAACTAGTTACACTGCTAGTTACTTTAGAGAGGAAGGTAA